AATTAATATTTGATGGGTCAAAAAAGCTTACCTCTCTCCTCAAATTTCGTGTCAGACAAAAAAAGACAGAGGTATGCGGTATTACTAGTCTGCCCCTCTTTGTCTCTTAATTAATTTTGAGCCATTAGATGTGATTAAAATGTAAGGCCAAAGATATGATTTTGTAGTAAAGGGTTGTATATCCTATCATTTTTCCTATGAGTGTGCAACGGTTCGACCTGATCGGACCAAACTCATGAGAATCGCGGTTCAATAGTGAAAGATATCTTATGATCAAGGACCAGATCAAAAATATATTCAATTCGTGTTTGCCCCGTCCAAATGTAAATTCAATTCATTTTTCCAGCATTTATAAAATTAAAGAGGCCAAGGACTGGACCAAATATGTAATCGGTTCGGTGTAGTTTAGTCCAAACATCAATTTTGTCTGGTGCAATTTGATATGGACCAACCTGTTTCACACCCCGATTTTGGCATAACCCGACTAAATCTACATCTCTACAATATATGATAGGAGAGTTGGGAGTAGTTTTTGAGTACTTCAAATTAGGGATGACAATTTTGCCCATACACATGAGTATTTTACTATCCAACCCAATTGGATTGGGCAAATAGATGGGTAATGGATAGAGTTTGATGGGTTTGTACCTATACCCATTTACTTGGGTTGTGTTGGGTTTTTAACAAATGGATTTCGATTTGTACCCATGCCCTAATGCAAATTACAGTTTGATATCTGAACATAATAGATACGCATATTTAGTACCTAAATTTAATATTTTGCATATAAGTCCTCAAAATATGAATGAAAAATTACATTTTAGTACCTGAAATTTTTTGGTCTTACATTTTTGTACCTAAAATTTTCAAGTTTTGCAAATAGGTCCAATTTTTGTATGTGTAGTTAAAACACCCTCAAGTAAATGGATATCCATATCCAACCAATACCCATTTAGATGATGGAAGCAATATCCATAACTTACTCAAACTCATCTAAAAACCCCCCAAACCCATATATACCTCATCCATACCCTACCAATTATCAACGGGTCTACTTGGATTTGGGTATAATTACCCATGGGTGGGTAATTGTCATCCCTACTTTAAATTTCCTTGACGAGAGCTAAAGTAAGAAAAGTAGATTTGTTTCAACAGTTATTTATCTTATTTATAGGAAAAAATACATCTATTCTAGGATTTGAGGCATGGTCTTTTAAACAAGAACATGAATCATTACCAATTACACTAAACAAATTTGGTATATCTATTTGAACTAAAAACAAACAGAAACCTAAAATCCTAAAAATTGCTTACTTTTTCACTACTGTTAACTAGCTCACTAACTCTTGCATAAGTATTTATTTGGTATTTAATATTGTGATTTTAATATTTTTTATTTAATTTAATTTAACGATTAATTTAACTGTTGAATAGAAATATACATTTCAAATAACATTTTGACCAACAAGTTAGGGGTCGTTTTGTTTTGGTGATATTTAAATCAATGCATTGTGATCAATGCATGCATTGTAATATACATGCAATTAAAGAAAATTATGTAATTTAGTTTACCTTGTTTGGTTTTGATGATAGTTATTTTAGCATTCAAAAAGTTGTATTTCTTTTTTGTATGAAATATCACTTTTATTCTTGTTTTTAAGGGTTATAGACGAACACCGATTTGTAGTAATTCTACCCCTCTTAAAGTAATGGAGATAGACATATACTAGTTGAAGATGTTAGACCGACGATGAAATTTTGAAGGGAGAGGGTGTTAAATTGAGCGGGTGGTAGAGACATTGATGAAAAAAGTGGAGGGAACTATGCATGGGTGTTCCCGGAAAAAATTGAGAGTGGTTTAGATTATAAAAGTTCAAGGATATTATGTGATATAGATAAATAACTAAGGATATAATTGGAAAAAAAAAAGAATCAAACAATCCTCACTAAACAATCTCTAGTTTTACGTAAGATAGACATATAGTAATATCACTCATTTTGAGTGATTCTTTCCATCACATCAACAAAATAATGGATGCATTGTTGCAGGAAAAAAACTCAGAAAAACGATACAGTGTCGACAATGCACCCATTGTAACAATCCCACCACATCAGAAGTCACCAACAAAATACTTTGAGACGAATCCACAACAGGGACGAGGAGGATGCTGTTCTAGAACATCTTATGGAAACTTCAGATTCAACCTAGGGTTCGTATCTTCCTATGGAAGGTATGTAAGAATATCTTACCAGTGTGTGTTAACATAGAGGAGTGGATTGATAACGCTGCCCCAGAATGCCATTTATGCAATCTTCCAGAAACCCAACTTCATGCCCTTCGTGATTGTGACTGGATTCGAAGGCGATGGAAAGATTGCAACGTGGAGGATTTGTATGAGCTAGGAGAAGGAAAATCATGCATTGATTGGTTAAAGGAGATCTTTAAAAATTCCCCATTGGAGAAATTCAAAAACTTTGCGCTATCATTGGTTTCTGTGGAAAGAGAGGTGTAATCATAAATACAACAATCAGAAATTGGATGAGGAGGAGATCATACCGAGAGCAATGGGTGGATGTCCTTGTTCCTTGAAGCCCAGTCCTCACTGTCTGTGACTGCCACTTCTCGTCTGCCCATAAACGGTGATCCTCGAAATTGTCGATGGCTCCCTCCTCTTGATGGAGTCTTTACGCTGAACTCGGATGCGGGAGTGATCCAGCAGCAAGGGGTTGGTTTGGGCGCCATTATCCGCAACTGGATAGGAGATTTCGTGGGGGCGATGGTCAGAAGAGAAAGAGGGATCACAGACCAATTGAAGCAAAAGCTAAGGCGATGATGATGGGGCTGTGTGAAGCAAATTGAAGGTCGCTTAGCCCACTGATTGTTGAGTCAGATTGCCAAATTTTGGTGAATTTGATGAACAGTGATGAGGGTCAAGTGGGTGTTCTCACCCAGGAAAACAAATGCAGTGGCCCACTGGTTAGCTCACGCTGGGTCAGGTTGAACCAACAAATTGGTTGGGTCGATAACCCTCCCCTTTCTCTTCATTGTATGCTTGAGGCCGATATGGACTGTGGCCCTTTGGGCCTGGACTGATCTTTCATTTTAATATTATTCCCCAGATTTCCTATACAAAAAATCAAACGAACCCTTACACTATGTTCTAGAAAGAAGGAGAAGGAGGGGAAGGGAAAAGAGTGATGAAAAGTTGGAGAACCAAGACACTTTCCCTAGTTTTCGAAGAGACCTTCAGTACGGGAAGGAGAGAAAATGGATGTACTAGTTATTGTGTAAGCCTCTCCCCCAAATCGAAGAGAAAATGGCTTGGTGGTGCTTTTTCTGACATTTGCCCATTATTTCTTTCTTTTCTTGTTTATCTTTCTTTTTTTGTTGGGACTTAGAAATAAAAGCAAACAGGTATATAGACTATTAATTAGGAAGTTCATTATTCTCTTTTACTTTCTGAAGGTGATGTCTTTTTTCATATTTTTTACGTGATGTATTTAAAAGGTGATATACTTTCTTCTTATGATATATTATTATAGTTAGCGGATGAATAGTAAGCAAAATTAGAAACCCAATTAATCTCCTCAATGTTGTATGTTTATGTTTTGGGTGCGCCTATGGTGACATGCATGTCATGGTCACTTGCACTTTTCGGTCGACCTCAAATAGGATCAGGTCGACCTCATTTAGGATCAGGTCGACCTCACTTAGGATCAGGTCGACCGCATTTAGGATCTGGTCGACCTCATTTAGGATCAGGTCGACCTAATCTATTGTTTTAGTGTAAAAATAGGTTCATGGTGCCTACTTTGGAGATTCATATCATAAAATTGGCTAAATGGAAATTGAAGATTAATGGCTTGTTTTGAAGCTGGAGTGTTCCTCTACATATTGAAGTGATTGAGAGCTCGATAGGAAGTACAAAAGACCATTTTTGAACCTGATCAAAAGGCTATGCCAAAACTAGGAAACTGCCTGAAAATGGCTAAGTCTAGAAAAGTGTTTGTGAAGCCTACTTTGAAGCTCAATTCGAGAAGCATGAATGCGAGTCGAGTCCGGGGGCCTCTACCACATTAAATTAGGTATGTTTTTATACAAATTAAAGGCATTGGATGAAAGATTGGATATCTGTAAGGCTTCAAACAAAAGGGTCGAAGTTGCTACAAAGGCTGTTTTTCTGGAAGACTTCGAGCACAAGCAAGTTGCCAGAAAAATAGCCTTTGTAGCAACTTCGAGCCTTTTGTTTGAAGCCTTAAAGATATTCAATCTTTCATCCAATGCCTTTCCTTTGTAGACAAACATATCTAATTTAACGTGGTAGAGTGTTAGAAACCGATTTCTGTAGGGTTTCTCTATTTATTAATATAATTATTATTAGGGTAATTATCAATAAGGTTAGTAGTTATTTAGTAGGATTAGGTTTATTATTAGGGTTTACTAGTGTTCCCTATAAATATGTACTTTGAGTCTACGTTACGATCAGTCAAGAAAGAATTATTAAAGAATCTCCCAAACCCTAATCTCCCTATCTTCCCAATTCTCGATCTCAATCCCTCTAAAGGTCTAGGCCGATTCCCTTCTGTTCTTCCCCAATTCTTTCCCAAATCCCTAATTCTATCTTCTCAATCCCTAAATTCCCAAATATCACCCAATCCAAATCCCGTTAGAAACTTTGTTTCTAACATTTGGTATCAGAGCCCGGTTCGAGAATTGAGTTCACCACAACTCTCAACCGGGGACGAGTTCTACAGCTGGCTTGACGATGAGCTCTTCAAAGCTCTCGAACCTATCGTGGACAGAGCTGCGTGACCGGGCTCGACGCATCGGACGCCGTTGGAGCTCCGAAGAGTCGGCGACTGTGCAAGCAGAGAAGGTGACCCGAATCGCCGACAGCGAGCGACCACCAATGTCCGCCGAGACCGACGAAGCGGTGGAAGTCACCGTTGAAGGGAGCGATACGGAACCGGTGATGGAGGAGGAGGCTATGGACGGAGACATGACAGAGGAGCAGCAGCTACCGGTCCGACCTGTGACGGCGGACGACGAGCAAGAGCCGACGACCGAGGAGGAAGCTGCGGCTGTTGAAGCAGTGGAGGAGACGACGACAGCGACGTCGTTGGCCCGAACAGCAGCAGTTGTCTTTCCTGCATCAAAACCCCCATCGCTTGGCCCGGTTTTAGGCAGCCTTGCTGAACTTCCCAAGCCGCCTAGAACGCCATCGCCTGCGGAAAGGAAGGGAACAGATTCCATTGACAAGCGCTCATCTCCAGAAGTATCTTTCGACCCAGGAGGAACAAGCTTCAACCCCATAGGCTACACCCGTCATGCTGTCCCCAGTAATAGTGGACCGAGTAGAGAGTTTCGTGTTGTGAGGGACAATAGAGTCAATGGAAATACAAATAGAGAACTGATGTCTAATATTTCTGAAAGTTCATCATCCAATGAGCATGCTGTGAAGGGTTCAACTGCAAATTCAAGCTCTCTGAAAGCGTCTGCTGAACTCGGTCCATCTCAGGCTACTAATGGGCATACTGTTTCTCATGGTGTTAGACACAATAGAGATGCTAACTCGAGCGGAACTGAAAGGAGAACTAATTTGAATGAGAAAAGGGCAGTGACACCCGGTGCAGCTTTACGATTACAGGGAGGAAGACCTAACAGTTCTCAAAACCAGTCTGCCACGGTTGTTGGTGTATATTCTTCTGCAACAGATCCTGTCCATGTTCCTTCGCCGGATGCCAGACCATCGGCTGCCGTTGGAGCTATTAAACGTGAAGTTGGTGTGGTGGGAGGTCGCCGACAAACTTCTGGAAGTCCAATGAAAGATCCATCTGCAACTAGTAGTTCATTGCCGAGTTCTGCAGTGGCCAAGGATAGCCCTTTGTCAGAGCCATTCCAACCCTTTCTTGCAATCTCCAAGAATGACCAAGTCAGTCATCAAGCTAATGCAAGTGAAGCTGTTGTGTCTGGTGTTACTGTTAGCAGATCATTCTTAGGTGGTCAGTATAGCAGTAGACCTCATCAACAAAGTGCAGGTCATCAAAAGGCTTCTCAGCATAATAAAGAGTGGAAACCAAAAACATTTCAGAAGGTTAGTGTCAATGGGCCTGGAGTCATCGGGACACCCACAAAATCAAGTTCTCCTGTTGGTGATAATTCTAAGGGATTGAAAACTGATGCTGGTGATTTGCCTCATAAGCTTTCTCGGGTGAAAATCAATGAAAACCAGAATGTGATCATTGCACAGCACATTCGGGTGCCTGATACTGACCGTTGCAGGCTTACCTTTGGAAGTTTTGGGGTTGAGCTTGATTCTGCGAGGAATTTCAGTTCTGGATTTTCAACAGTTGGGGTCACAGAAGAAAATAAAAGGGAATCTACTACTAGTTTGACTGCATCTGTTGCGGAGTCTACGGGTGATGCTGCTTCTGGTACCAAGCATGATGAAGTATCAGCTGAGAAATTGAGACACTCTGGCTCTGTTTCTCCAGCTTCAGGCGGAGCATCTGAGCCACAGTTACCTGATAAATCTCCAAGTCCTCCAAACTTGGATAATTATGCTGATATCAGTTTGGTTCAAGAAACCAGTCCGTCGTATGATCACGCCGAGTCACACCATCAGCATCAAGATCCTCCTGAATTACAGAGCTTTCAAGGAACCGAATCTGTATGGGTCGTCGACATGGGGTTTGAAGTTCTTGATGGGTTGATGCTCAAGGACGGGTTCTTGCACAAGAAAGAAGCAAATAGTGGGCCCATAGAAGTGAAGTTCGAAAAGTTGGACCAGCACAAGAAGGACAAGGCAAGAAGTTCAATATCAGAGTTGGAGCACGATTGGAAGAAACGAAAGCGCAAGAAATTCAATATCAGAGTGCGCGAGAAGGAAGAAAGAGTGGGTCAAGTGGTTCAACCTTGAGGGCAAGGTTGGTCTGAAGGGGGAGGAGATGTTAGAAACCGATTTCTGTAGGGTTTCTCTATTTATTAATATAATTATTATTAGGGTAATTATCAATAAGGTTAGTAGTTATTTAGTAGGATTAGGTTTATTATTAGGGTTTACTAGTGTTCCCTATAAATATGTACTTTGAGTCTACGTTACGATCAGTCAAGAAAGAATTATTAAAGAATCTCCCAAACCCTAATCTCCCTATCTTCCCAATTCTCGATCTCAATCCCTCTAAAGGTCTAGGCCGATTCCCTTCTGTTCTTCCCCAATTCTTTCCCAAATCCCTAATTCTATCTTCTCAATCCCTAAATTCCCAAATATCACCCAATCCAAATCCCGTTAGAAACTTTGTTTCTAACATAGAGGTCCCTGGACTCGAATCGCAACCATACTCCTCAAATTGAGCTCCAAAGTAGGCTTCACAAACACATTCCCAGACTTGGTCATTTTCAGGCAGTTTCTCAGTTTTGGAATAGCCTTTTGATCAGGTTAAAAAATGGTCTTCTAGACTTTTTATCGAGCTCCCAAGTACTTTAATGTGTAGAGGGGCACTTCAGCTTCAAAACAAGCCATTAATCTCCAATTTCCATCTAGCCAATTGTAAGATATGAATCTCCAAAGTAGGCACCATGAAACTGTTTTTACACTGAAACAACAGATCAGGTCGACCTAATCCTATATGAGGTCGACCGGAAAGTGCATGTCACCGTGACATGCATGTCACCGTAGCAAAGTCCTTATGTTTTTAGTTATTAAAGTTCACTCCTTTCTAACGCTAAAATCGTCTACTATTTTGGGTTCGATATTTCTTGTCCGACCGAACGGTACGGTTATGTTTTTTAAACATTGTATAATATAAGTTGAATAATTATTAATTAATTTAGAATGATTGTGGCTTAATCAATTATTATAAAGTCTCTATTTATAATAAAGTCTCTATTTTTAAATAATTGATGTGGTCAAATCAAGATTTTAGAACAAAATACCCTATCACTAATTTTTTCGGTACAATCTATTTATAATAAAGTCTATTTACTAAGTAGAATATTAACATACAATCAAATAAACATACAATCATAATTAGAATGTTAACATACAATCAAATTATTTTATAATAAAGTCTCTAATTCATAAGTAAAATATTAACATACAATCAAATTATTTCATAATAAAGTCTCTAATTCATAAGTAAAATATTAACATACAATCAAATTATTTTATAATAAAGTCTCTAATTCATAAGTAAAATATTAACATACAATCAAATTATTTTACTAATACATAACCAATTAAATAACATATTCATCACACTTCCCAATACACACTTTACTTCCCACTTTCCTCCATAAAACAATATTTTCCTCTCAATTCTCTTCACCTCCAAATCTCCTCTCCCCTCCTAATTTTCCTTCACCTCCCCTCCTTTTCTTCTCTTCCTTCGGAAACATAGTGTAATAGACTTCAAACTAGTTGAAACGGCGGAGCGGATAGTATAACAACAGCTCATTTGTTGTTATTATAACAACAGGATTCATTAAGGGTAATAGGGTAATTTAATATAAAAAATAAAATAAAAATAAAATCTAATTAATCCATCTCCGCCACCGCAGCGCACCTTCCTCCTGCATCTCAGTCGGCGGAGGCAGCACGGGACCATCAGAAGTGAAGGTCAGCGTCGCCTTAGCCATTGCCGTTGCCGTTCTCGGCTGGATCGAGCCGAAGGAGCCCTCGGAGTAGCCAGGGTTCGGATCCAGTTCAGCTGAAGAAGATCCGAATCCAAAACCCTCGGGGGAGGAGTCGGCGGGCTGATCCTGCCTTCCGACCACCGCCGCATCGGTGACGCTTCTCCACTGCCCTGCTTCTTCCACACCGCTCCTGCTTCTCCACAACCCTGCTTCTTCCACGCCGCTCTTGCTTCTTCTATCACATAGCAATTTATACTGCGATGATGGAACTCGAGTCTTCTCTTGTTGGGTACATTTCCAGTTTGTGATTACGACAAGAATTGTTGAAAATTGGAGATGCAAAGCTAAGTCCAACAAGAAAAGGACCTCGATCTCTCAGGTATGTTAATTAATTAATTAAATAATTATCATGTATGTAGGTTAATAGAGCAGGAGGAAGTCTTCGATCGGTTAGCTAAATGACTAATAAGTCTTGGATGAATTAATCAATGAAGACTTCCCATTTGAATGATATAGTCATAGAACACCAGGTCAAATTGCAGGTTAAATTGATTGTGTTTTTAATGTATTTTAGTGTATTATTGTGTTTATCATATGCATTTAGGAGATATCGGTATGCAGATCATTAGTCTTTAATAAACACATCAGAAACCTCCTAATGCAGACCACAAACGTGATAAAAAAACCATAAAAAAGCAAACTAAAAACCTTCTAATGCATACCACAAATTCCCTAAAACAAACCACAAGCCTTACAAAGCAAACCACAACATTTGTGAAAACACACCAGAAACCTCCTAATGCAGACCACACACGTGATAAAAAACCACAAAAAAGCAAACCAGAAACCTCATAATGGAGACCACAAATCCTCTAAAACAAACCACAAACCCCATAATGCAAACCACAACATTTGCGAAAGCACACCAGAAACCTCCTAATGCAAACCACAAACACAGTAAATCAAACCACAAAAAAGCAAACCATAGACGTCCTAATGCATACCACAAATATACTAAAACAAGCCAGAAATCTCACAATGCAAACCACAAATTTTTTGAAAGCAAACCAGAAACTTCTCAATGCAAACCACAAACACGATAAAGCAAACCACAAACTTCTGAATGCAAACCACAAACGCGATAAAGCAAACCATAAAAGGCATACAAAAATGTGAGAAACCAAACCATAAATCTCACAATGCTAACCATAACATCCGGTGATCGTTGACCGTTGACCGGTCAACGAAGTTCGTTGACCGAACTCCGGTGACCGAACACCGGTGACCGTCAGTGAGCAGATTCCGACGCCGATAGGCATATTCCGACCCCGATGACTAGATTCCGACGCCGGTAAGCATATTCCGAGGCCGGTAAGCATATTCCGACGCCGGTAAGCATATTCCGACCACAAATAGCATATTCCGACGACAAAAAGCATATTCCGGTGATCGGCGACCATTTTCCGGCGACCAGATTTTTGGGCATAAAATAAAATTTGTTTTATTTTTATTTTTTTATTTAAATAGATTTTTCATAATGACAATTATACCCCTGATTTGATTTTACACTAGGTCAACTCATCTAATAAAAAGTCATCACAATCCTAGCTTCCTATTGGTTGGGGACTAGTGTTGTCACAATAACAACACAATGAGTGTTGTTATAATAACCGGTCCCTTGAAACGGAAAGTGTTGTAGTGTTAGGTAAATCACGTGGCACAACACGCGCGGTGGGTGCAAGCCAAACTGAATGAAGCTTCATAAAAGATTTTTTTTTTCCTACGTAAATTGTAATTTGTAGGACTACCAGAAGATCGTTGGATTTTGAAAAAGTGGGGCGAGGATAAGCAACGTGTAGTGAATCATAGCCATTCACTCCACCAACCACAGTCGCGGTCAGAAATCGCACCCAACCCAAATTATTATTAACTAAAACAAAAAAAGACAACCAAACTAACAAATAAAAAAGGCCACCAAGCTGCTCACAATGTTTTTTTACGTAACCAACAGGAGGGTAGAGTCAACGATCTAGTAGGTACCTACCTGGAAATTGAATATAGCACTTCATTTTTATTTTTTTGTTGTAATTGAGCATTTTATTTGTTTATTTTTGTAATTAAGCATTTTTTTTTGTTTAGATTTGCTTACGAAAAAGAAAAATGAAATGAAGAATTAATAAATAGTTAATTCAATTCAATATATCGTTCATAACACTTTTTTGTTAGAAATGAGTAAATTTTTATTAAGGCAAAATACAATTTCATAGTCATAATTTTCAGTGACAGTTATAGACACAATTTTCGAAATAAATAAAATAGTCACTTCTGTTCATCCATTTAACGAAGTTTGGCACTGTTTCGCCCCCACCAATCCAAGTATATTAAAAAACAATATAAAAAACATATAAGCACCAATACTATATGGCATTGGCTTCAACCTCCCAACCCCCCCTCTCTCGTCGCAGTCAATTAGTCCGCCTTTCACGTCAATTTCGGAGTCGACCACTACCCTTCCACTTCCAGTGAGAAACTTTGATGGGCTACCTGGGAAGTAGTTCATCGAGAATAAATCGTCTCTGAGGGGACATTGGCGAGTAATTGGAAGAGGAAGACGTGGAAATCCTAGAATTTTGACGGCCTAATTTAGCTAGCGAGGTTGAGTGCGTCAACCGATGGACTTAAGAAATTCTCAATTCAGGGGAGGAAATTGAGATCTGAAGGGAGTAGCGAGGGAATTGCGAGTTAAATCAGAGCATGTGGCTATGTAAGTGTATTTTGCCTTTTATTAATAATACGTTGCTATATCCTCCATGTTATGTTCATATGACCTATCAAGAAAATTGAAGGTTGATCGATGTAAACAATGCTTCATCTCATAGAAGTTTTTAGAGTTAGCCATTATATGAAGCGTAGTATTTGCTTCCTTAGGAACATGTCTTCAAGTTCCATTGCTCATTTTAGTGAGGTAGCTTCGAATACTCCTACATAAAGTGCCAATCTGGTCTGAACAGTGTCCGCCTTCAGCAACTTTTGAGTGAGGGACATGCAATCTAGCTCTAAAAGTTGGATTTGTAGCATGAAATTGGCTTATTGAACGGAACTTCAATTTCCCATAACTTCTTCAACACAATTTCCTCATCTTGCAGCAATATTTCATGTTCGGTCTTAAAATCCACGAGCTAAAACTTGTATGCATCTTTTGCTGGGACATTTTGGGACGAGGGTATACGTAGGATAGCTCGAGACCGGGTGACCAGGATTGTGATAGAGTCGTGAACAACGTTC